CCTTTAAAGAACGAAGTGTTTGACAGTTGATGTCTCATGATCACGATATACTCTGATGACCCATGATATGTACACAGTCAGAAGCTACACTGGTATTAGGGCTTCTGTGAGTGTCTTATCCTCACCAATATCCTTGTACTAGCTGAGTCTAACTATCATATATTTTTGGATCCTTGCCTCTGTGTATTCATCAGTCTTTTCTTCTATCTCATTCCCCTCAGTAAATATCAATACTAAAAGGCACTAAAACAAAATTGAAGGGAACATAAACATTGCACACTGTGGGCTGATTTTTCTTTCCCACCTGCTAGTTCTTAAATAACCAACATGAAGACTTAACAATAATATATACGATAGTCTGATAGCTCAGGCTTATTACTAACTAGCTCTTACAACTTAAATTAAGTCATTTCTGTTAATCTATGTGCTGCCCCCTGGCTCATTGCTTTACCTGTCCTCTAGCAAGTCTTGCTCCCTCAGCGTCTTCTGATGACTCCTCTGACTCCACCCTTCCTCTTCCCAGCATTCTTTCTGCCCCCCAAACCCTGCCTGGAATTTGGCCAGGGGTGGGTTCGCATAGATATTTTGCATGCCGTCATAACCACTGTGAGTTCATTTGTGCAGCTGTCTTGCTATGTCCAGGAGCCACAATTTTTCTGTAGTCATGCACAGGCTCTGGCTCATATACTGTTCTTGCCTCCCCTTGCACAGTGTTTCCTATGGCTGGGAGAAGAGGATGTGGCATATATGTTCCACATAAAGAATGTATATTTAAAGTGCTTCTTCAATCTAAAATAAACGTATTTTATACCTTTAAGTTGATATCCTCAGTCAAGATACAATTGCAGAGTTTTCTTCTATAGAATCCAGAATCTAGACTTCTTTCAATCTAGTGCTCTGTCTCAAGCCTAAGACAAAGTAGCAATCTATGGTGTGCATACCACAACACCTCCACACTGGCTATTCAGAACAGAGGCTATTTTCACACCAAACTTTAACAAGTACTGCAAAACTAAACAAATACCTTTCAAGGTCCATCCATTACAACTGATGATACATTGGACTAAAAACAGTGTTTTCTTGGGGTGGTGTTGTGATGTTTTCAATATTTGGCTAAGAAATTACATTTGGAGAAATGGATTTTTCTTCTCCTTTTCAAATAATACTTTAGTGCTCCACAGTCTCTTAAGTTTATGGATAGCTATTATACCTTTACACTTATCACAGCTTTATATGAACAGGTTAAAATCTTAAATGGTAACAAGAAATGACTTTAAGATAGCATGGTTTGTATCTACTAGAAATTGTTCACTGAAAAAAAAAGAGTGTTTAATTACAAATGAAGGAACCTGCCTCACAGCTTTTTAGCTATATTAAAAACTTTATGTTTTCAAAGCTCAAACACAGTTGCTAATAAACTATTTCTCACAGTAGGTCTCTAAGGGAGCCTAGTACTAACAACTCCCATTTTTTATGAAGGACACACTTGATCATAAAAATTAGATAACCCCATCTAGGACCTCATAGAGATTAAAAGATAGTTACAACTTGTGATTTACACATGCTAGTTTACAGATCTAGTCTCTTAGATTTCTGAACAAATTGAGTTAGAAAATCTAATAAATTTTACTCTCCTGATAATGTAGATAAACATATCTCATGTACACACAATTGTATTTTTTGGACTATTTATCTTTTGTGTCCATAATCAGCTGTTTAGATACAGGGAAATCATAAACAAACATAAAAAGATTTCTGTGCAGCTGAGTGATTCAAACTCATTCTGATACTCTTCACCTTGAGTTGAATAAACAGACATATTTGTCCCTCTTTTTCTCTTTTGAATTCTGACTCATTTGGAAATATGATTGACTAAGGCTGACTCATTGAATGATTTTAGACTGAGATCAACTGTCTTCGGCATTACATTTATTGTTTTTGTATTTCACTAAAATACATTTGATTGTATTGTTATAAAATACTGAAATTATATATGACATTTAATCTTATTGATTGTAGCTATATAATCTTTAATCTTTTTACTTAGGATTTCACAAATCACTTTTTGATGAGAAAAACAGCCTGTAACATATAATGTGAATATTGATTTCAGATATTTATCAGGTTGTTTTTTGAGATTAGCAGTTTCAATCCAATTTGGCTGATTAATGTGAAGTGTTTCTGGAGTCAAAAATCCTTTAATTCATTTCCATGCAAAGCAATGAGCTGCACAATAGTACTGTGTGTTAAGTGGATCTCAATCACAAGAACATCTGAGTGTTTGTTACATTTGTTTATATATGTCAAGCAATATCACTTTGTAAAGAAAGTTAATAGTATACAAATGTAACCTCATATTTGTATTAATTTATTTATTAAGTGGATACATATAATTTATTTTTCATAACTATGGATGAGTAAAAATTCCATTTAAATTTATATATTTGCTTTTTAAATGAGGTAAGCATATGTTTGGAAATGAAACTGATTTATGTGTCATTTTACTAAAAATTAAAATGTTCTTGATATTTTTAATATTTTTAAAGAAGGGCTATTCTCTGGCCTCTGATCCCCTAAACTGCCTTATTACCAGAATTGCTATTGAATTTAAATTATATGCATACAAAGTCTTGTATCAAATATAGTAGCCAGATATGATCACTTTTAAAATTACATTTCCTTTGTGGACATACTAGATTCGGCTTCAGTGCTTCTGAGAACATAGCACATTACTCAAGGAAGTAGAATACCTCAATGTATCATCATTTTGCCTATAGTATTTACTAATAAGGATATAGTTCCACAAAAGTAAGATTCAAGGATTGCCTGTTATTATGAAAAATTCAATAAACAATAGTATTAAATGCACTGTAAATATTTGTCTTCTGCTTTTTCACTACCATCAAAACCACATTTTCTAAACACTATTTTGTGAAGTTCTTCTGTGTGATTCAGTTTTTCTGAAGCTTGTAAAATATTTCATATGTATATGTGCCTAGTTTCCCTAGATTTAGGTATTATAAGAATTTGATGAATGAATTGTAATTATAAAATATTGGAAATGATAACCTCATACATTCCTTTGGGATCCTGATGATTTCTGGGTTGTTCCTCTCAAATAATTAGGGCTGAATTGAGTGTCTGATCTTGGAGAAGGACCTTATAACAATTTCCTGAAGACAAAGTTTTTCATGTTTTTTTACTTCCCACAAGACACAATGCATAAAGCAGACAAAACTCTTTAGATGAACAAGTAAGAAACTTAGATGACATGTGTTTTCAGATTAAAAACTTACTCATCTCCTTTTCATTCTGTGCACAAGTACAGTCCTTGATCTTCCCAGGACTAACTGAGGGAACCTGTGTTAGGTCCAGAGATGCCATGCAAATGATGTGTAGCCTTTTACGTCTGCAGGTCCACTACAGACACTTGACTGCTGATAGTGTCCCTGTGGTTATAGCTTTAAGGCTAAAAGTGGGTGTCCAATATGCTTTTCTGATTCAGTTCCACTGTATAAGTTACATTTCATATGCAGGGAGTCCAATATTGAGATGAAGGGGCATACAGCAATAGTGTAAAACAGAAAAGTGTGTTCATATGAGAAGTGGCCATAACAGAACTAATTTATTTCCTTTCAAGCCAAGTTCGGGCCCCTAGGAAGCCATTACTCCTACCCAGACACCTCCAGTCTACCATTACAGCAGATTCCAATTGACACTTAGCACTGACACTAGATCCAGAATGTTCTGTTGTGAGGGCATAAGCATGGCAGGCATTCTGTGCCATCTACAAAGTGTTCTTTTGGTCTTCTTCATGAAAGAGCCAGAACAGTTTTAATTGAAATCGTATATACATATATACTGTGGGAAGAAGAAGAAGAAGAAGAAGAAGAAGAAGAAGAAGAAGAAGAAGAAGAAGAAGAAGAAGAAGAAGGAAAGAAAAGAAAAGAAAAGAAAAGAAAAGAAAAAGAAGAAGAAACTATCACCAAAGTTAGGGGAATGTTTTCCATATTCCTTACACTGAACCCCAAGTTCGAATTTTGCATGTGTCTAGAAATGCATCAAAAAAATTCATTTACTCAATCTTACTAAACCAACTTTGATCAGTAGGTAGAATATGATCTTAAAAGATCTTTCCTTAATGTGGAATTTGTACATGTGAGTTGCCTGGGAAATTACAAAATTGTAAAAGCATAGTATAAGAAGGTATTAGGTTTCATGATCCATATTGTCTTTTAAACTTTATTTCCCTATGATTTTAAGTAAACCATTTCCATGATTCATTTAGATTCTATGGCAATAATATTTAATCATAGTATGGCATAGTTAAAAACAATTGCCGAAGTAGATGATGTGGTCAATGTGATCCAGCTGGGAAGAGGAAACTTCAGTTGAAGTGTTGTCTACATTGGACTGGCTTGAGGCATGTCTATGAAGCATTTTTTAAAAATGCTGCTTGATGTCAGAGGGCTCAGCCCACTGTGAATGATGCCATGCCCAGGCAGGTGGGCCTAGATTGCATAAGAAGAGTTGCCAAGCAATCCAGAGAGAGCAAGCAACCCAGGAGGCAATTCTGTTCTCCATGGTCTTAGCTTCAATTTCTGCTCCAGGTTCCTGCTTCCCTCAATAATGCACTGTAAGTGTAAGAGGAAATAAAACTATTCCTTCCCCAAGTAGATTTTGGTCAGTGTTTTATCCCCAACAACAGAGACTTCACTAAAGCAAAAATTTTGAGATTTCAACTCTTATTTTTTCTATTACTGTCAGGCATTGCCTAATGTACATAAATCAGTGTTGAAAATATTTAAATGGGTTTTTGTTTAGACTTTTTCTGGAGTACCTAAGATTTATAGTTTACATGATGAAAAATTAGCAAAGAAACATGTGCTCATTCTATTTTGCTTTGCTTTATTATTTCAGCCTAGACATGATTACCTTGAGCAACGGAATCCCCACAATTATGAAGGTAACACTAACTCCTTGTGGAATTTTTGTTTTAGCATTAAAAAAAGGACGATTTTGGATCACTCCTGATCCTTATCACAAAGATGACAACATCCAGATTGGGCGTGAGGTGAAAATATCTTGCCAAGTAGAAGCTGTCCCTTCTGAGGAGTTAACATTTAGTTGGTTTAAAAATGGCCGCCCACTAAGAAGTTCTGAGCGGATGGTTATTACGCAGACAGACCCGGATGTGTCCCCAGGAACAACAAACTTGGATATCATTGATTTAAAATTCACGGACTTTGGAACTTACACATGCGTGGCCTCTCTGAAGGGAGGAGGAATATCTGATATCAGTATTGACGTTAATATTTCCAGCAGTACAGGTAAGAGGCTTGCTCATAGTGCAAAATGCCTTTAAAATAATTTGGGTTTGGTAAAGTCAGAGAGGCTAAGAAGTCATTATTTTTAAATTAAATCTAAATCTTATGATCCTAATTATCTAGTAAATATCTGAATTGAGGCACTGTTGCTGTTCTTTATATTTCGATTTGCATGAGGTTCTATAAAAATTGTGTAAATTAAATCAATAGCAGTGACAAAGTTAAGCTTTAAGTAAAAGTATGCCAGCTTTTTTTTTACATTAGCCACAGTCCTTATAGCACTAAAAATATTATTAATAAACTTAAACCAGTGACTAAGGCTGAAGTCTTTTTCTAAATTTAAAATTCAACAAAGCTATTTGGATCTAAGACATAAGCCTTGAGAGGTAATTTAAGAGTGTTTTTTTAAAAAATTAATGTTTCTTCTACTAGTAGAAACCTTTTATTAAAGTTGTTGTCCAGTGTGACGTCTTGTTGTTATACCATAGTATAACAACCAAATTGTTAAATACAAAAATATATTGAAGGGGAACTCTTTGAAAGCTAAAAATGAAAATGTGCTGTCCTTTTCTATTGTCTTAAGTTGTTACCTCTAGACTTGGAAAAGTCCAGTGTTTTTTGGAGAGGATGTGGTAGGTTCACTCTCGGGTATTTTAAAGACCTATGTGTGCTTTGCCAATCTGTCACCAGATTGTTTTAACTAAGGATTCTCCCACAGTGGTGGGTGAGGACTACAAACTGAACTCACAGAGCTTGGTTACAGGAGAAAAGCTCCATGTTTGCAGGTGCTTAAGAGCTGGCTCTTCCCTTTCAGTCAGGCAGCCTTTTGACTCTTTTACACACGTGATTCACATGCAACTCTGTGCCTTCTCTTGGTTCCCAATTGCAGTTCATGCTGTATTGATTTTGCCATTAAAAGTCCATATGAAAGGCTTGCTTTTTTTAATTCCGTGTTCTAAAGGTTATTTAGTTTTTATGAGACACATAATCTATGTGAAAAGAAATTAGAACATTAAAAGTAATTGTTATCCTAGCTTAGGCAAAGCCTCCACCTGATCTCTAAATATTTGAACTAGCATGATCGGATAGATTTATTTGTGGTTTTGATGAAAAACTGTTGATACATAATTACTCAATCAACAGATATCCATGTACTGCCTACATTAGTGTGGTAGGCAACAGAGTAAGTACTGATTGGCATCCATGTAAGATTTCCTTTTAAGAGTAAGAGTATTTTTGAAGGGTAACTTTTCAGAATTTTCTACCATATCCATCACCCTGCTTTCTTTGTTTGCTTTTCCTGTTTTGTTCACTCATTTCTTCTTTGGGAACTAATCAGCGCGCACACACACACACACACACACACACACACACACACATGGAACTAATCAGCACACACACACACACACACACACCACAGCTTTTATTTAACAGACTTACTTGAAGGAAACATGACTAATTGGCTGTTCAACTTAAACAAAATACATCATAGAAAAAAGAGAATTATTACCAGAATGTATTCTGATAGTCATTTAAGTATGGTACCTACATATGAGTGTTTGAAACTAGGTATTGTGGATGACAAAGACAAAATGCCCAACCTCGATTCATAAAATAGCCAGAGATTCTAAAAGGAAAATTCAAGTTGGTCAGAGAACAGATTTTTGTTCAATTACAGCCTAATAGACATTAGAATAATTTTAATAAATCATCTTCACTATTGGTTTGATTTCTAAGGACCACAACACTAGAAATAAAACCTGTATTAAGATTTTTAGAAATATGCTCTATGCCTTCTTTTTCTTGCCACACACAGATGCTTTTCAAGGAGGACTCTGTGAAAAATAGATTTCATCTGCAATGTTCAATGCAGTCTTACCATTAGGGAAAACACATGACACATAGTTAGAACCCATTAGATAGTTGTTTAATACAACTATGATCAAATTTATGCATCTGACACACTACTGTTACTGTCTTTTCTGATTCTACTTCTTTAGTACAAGCACTGTTGGCCCCTCTTGCTCTTTCTCAATTTTCTACTGACATGACAGTAGATGTATTTGCTTTAATGTTTCAGCTTCAGGACAATATAGGACAGATGGATGTTGTAATTTGTCAAATGAAACTAAAATGTAGATTTTTAACACAAGCTGTTGAGGTTTTATGGGGAAAAATCAGAGCATTAAGTCAAGTTCAGCTACAGTGGGTTTTATTTTAACACACAACTGTTATGTTCATGAATCTGGACACCAGGAAATTGAGTTTTGAGAGAAGAAATAGAGAAGATAATCTTTAAACTAACAAGTGTGTCGCTCTTCATACCAAGTCTGGCTTGTTTATCACATTACCTATAGTGAATGACACACCAGAGTTGTCTACACAGTTCTCATGGCTGAGATTTGGGGATTCTACTCATACCATTGAAAAAGATTATCTCTACATCATAGAATTCTACACTCAAAATGACACTTCAATATGAAAACAGATATATTACAAATCAGCATTTGGCTGGGCGTTGGTGGTGCACACCTTTAATCCCACCACTCGGGAAGCAGAGGCAGGTGGATCTCTGTGAGTTTGAAGCCAGCCTGGTCTCCAGAGTGAGTACAAGGACAGGCTCCAAAGCTAAACAGAGAAACCCTGTCTCAAAAAAACAAAAAAACAAAAAGAAAAAAAAAAACCAAATCAGCATTTGACTAAGGAGGGTCCACAAGCTATTCCATAAAAGAAAGTCTCAGACTATTCGAATATAATAAAAGCCCTGAGAACAGAGGGAATTTAGGTGAATTGGTTGAGTGAGTACATTCAAGAAAATGGAGCAATTGTTAATAAATAAATATAAATAACTGGACATGTGATTCCATTATAGAAAGCTTGTACTACAAAAATGACAATCAAAAATGTCTATATGTGGATGTCTTCTCTATTTGGGGTTTTTCTAATTATTACTGTTTCAGGGAATTTAGCAGTGGCTAGATGGTCAGTGGTTTTATGATATTTAAATATTTTACATTAAATTTACACCATTATAGGGTGATATTTTAAAATTCTTTCTAAACCTTCTGAGCCTAGTATTACACAGGAGTCTAACATTAATTCTTGGTTGTTACTCTGTCTCCAGGGATGTGTACAAGACACTTAATAAGACGAGGGTTTATTGCCATGATACCTTTCTGCATAGCACAGAAATCTTTCTTAAATCACAGACCCATAGTCAGCATATGTGTTAGATAACACTTAAGACTGACTGAAATGGGAAAAATCCCAGAAGGCAACTTGTAGTTTGCAGAATCACTAATGGTTTTAAAAGACAATGATTTAGAAAAAACTGGCAAGTTATATTTAGAAAAACTGTGGAGAAGCTATATCTGTTTCATGGTTTATTCATACATTTAAAGGATACTAAATGACAGTGTAAATGACATAAATTATGCATTATTTCAATTTAGTTCAATATTAACAAACACACACAAAGTTCTGTAAGTTTGGAAATTGTTCTTGTATTAACCAGTTGCTGCTTTCTCAATTTAAATATCCATTCATCTCCAATTCCTTTACTAAATCAACCCCACACTGGGCTCTGTACCATATCCAGTTGGTACAGACAGACATTGCTCTTAGGTCATCTAAAGCAGAGTACCCTGCCTGATCTAGTCTGTAGGAGCCAGACACTTTACTTGAACTTTGACCAGATGTCTGTAGATGCTCTGAGTCTACAGTGTAGTTACAGGACAGTCTCACAGACAGTTGAAGTTTGATTTGAATCTTAAAGAAAGCAGAAGAAACAAACAGAGGATGAGGAAGGTCTCAGAAGTGGTAAAGCTGCTACTTGTGTCATGTTTATAGCATCAGCATTAATCTGAGAAAAAATCACATTACCTTACTTTAGTCTTAATATTTCACTGCTGGAACTATATTTTAGGCTAGACTTTGGGCAACCTAAATTACTTTCTGTGCATTGTTGTAAATATCTGAGTAACAAATTTAATGTATCAAACTCTAAGTGTCACCATTCAGTTCTGTGAAATATAGATTCTTCATGTGCCTCCTAAAAAAATGGATGCTAATTTAAGCCTAAATTATCAGCAGGTAAAATCAGCTGTTCTTCCTTTATATGAGAATAATTGGTAGAATAGAATTTTAGTTTTCATAAGTTTTCCTTTAAAATATTCTACTGCTTCCCCCCCTCACTTCCTAGTGAAGTCTCTGGTGCTCATCAGCTTGCATGTATTCCTTTGCATGACTCAAGAAACTTGTGTGTTTATAGTAAACTCAGAAATATGTATACCAGTCCTTAAAAAATGAAAGCAAAATCAGTTTTCTTTGGAATTCTGGGGAGCAGGGGAGACATCTGGTGAATAAATACAGCAGAAGGGTTGTGCTTCTCTCTTGTTAAGAGTACAAGGAGATTTTATATGATAGAGAAAGAAACAAGGGTTTATGGGTTAAGCAAGATACAGAGACATAAGTGCACAGGCACAGTGACGACCACCTGGAAATGACTTCACAATGTCAGGTTGCTGCTGGCCATCTAGTGACTGTAGTTCTGGAAGAGAGCAAGTGTCTGCACACCTGCAAGGATAGTGCTTGTTAGCTTGGGACTGTGGTGCACAATCAATGAGAGCCAAAAGTGAACATGAGAGCAAAAGAAAAACTGATTAAGCCCATTTCACTGGATTTGCTTCTTGGTTCCTTTCTATTTCAAAAGGAAAAGAAGAGTCCTGGAGAATTTTGTTGACTAAAAGTACATGTCTACAGAAAGACTGTAGTGAGGGGTGGGCTGTTTGCTTTGGTTAGAAGAAAACACCTGCAGTTCAGATTTATGAATTGGTGTCCAAGTTACTGGACAGAGAAAAATAATTTTCCTTCTTAATCCCCAAAACATAAAAGCTATGAACCTTGAATTCACGATGGAGACAAGGGTTGGTGAAAAGCTGGTGGTAGTCCTCAGCCTCTCTATCTGTGTATATGGTTTAGCTACAACAGTCTACTCTCTCATA